GCCCCTCCCCCAGCTTGGTTCTGCTGGCAGTTTCTTCCTGTTAAGAGTGTTTTTCCTTCCCACTGTTTCCAAGTGCTCATCCAGAGATGGTCGCTTGATTGTTGGGGTTTTCTCTGTATTATTGTAGGATCTTTACCTTACAATATAAAGCGCCTTGAAATGACCTCTGTTGTGATTTAGTGCTATATGAATTGAATAGAATAGAATTGAGCTGCAGATTTGTTGGCTGCATATCCTGGTTCACCACATCCCAAAGGTGTTCTAATGGATTGAGATCTGTTAACTGTGGAGGATATTTGAGTGCAGTGAACTTAACTCAAGATTGTTCAAGAAACAAGTTTGAGAGTATTTATGACATTGTGTTCCAGCAGAAGATGGAAAGACTGTGGCCATAAAGGGATGGATTTTGGCAAGTAGGCTTTGGTGTTCATACAAGGCTCAGTTTGTACCCCAAAGTATGCCAAGAAAATATCACCAGCCTGAGTTGTTGATACAAGACGTGATGCATCCATGCTTTTGTGTTTCTTATGCCAAAAGCTACCATCCAAATGTCACAGCACAAATTGACACTCAACATACAACAGAATATTTTTCTAATTTTTATCCAATTTTGGTGAGTCTGTGTAATTTGCAGCCTCAATTTTTTGTTCTCGGCTGACAGGAGTGACAACTGCTGTGGTCTTCTGCTGCTGTGGCCCATCTGCTTCAAGGTTCAATGTGCTGTGCTTTCAGAGATGGTCTCTCACAGACTTTAATAAGTGCTTGTTTGAGTTACTGTTACCTTCTTATCAGCTTAAAGCCATTCTATTCCAACCTCTAGCATCAGCGAGCCATTTTTGCCCAGCAAACTGCAGCTCATTGGATATTTTCCTCTTCTCTGTAAACCATAGAGACGGTTGTGTGGGGAAAATCCCAGTAGATTAGCAGTTTGTGAAATACTTAGACCGTCCAGCACCAGCAACCATGCCACGTTCAAAGTCATTTAAGTCGCCTTTCCTCCCCATTCTGATGCTCACTTTGAATATATCATAACTCCATCTACATACACGTACCTACATACAGTCCATGTATTGTATACAAACTCAGGCACATTTGTTGTTACATAATGTTTTTTTCCAGGTTATTCAGCGGATTTGTTAAACATTTATCTTTATGCTATAAATGAACTACAACCAGAGATGGGCAGTAACGCGTTACTTGTAACGCCTTACTGTAATCTGATTACTTTTTTAAAGTAACGAGTAAAGTAAGGGATTACTATCGCAAAAACGGTAATTAGATTACCGTTACTTTCCTGTAGGAACGCTGCGTTACTGCGTTACTAAAATTGTGATTTTTTGGCGAGAATGTCTCATGACAGTGACATAGTGTGATGTTCGTGACAACAGCTGTGTGCAGATCAACAATGGATAATATATGGAGTACGGAGAGAGTATGAGCATGCAGCGTTTAAAGCGTGGAAGTACTGACCTTACTTTGAGTTTGATTCCATAAAAAGTGACAAAA